CCAGCGAACCGGCCGCGTCGTATATGTGAGTATTGAAGTACGTGGTCAGACCCATACAGGAGCCCGCGATCACTACCCCGATCACCGCCGCGATGTCCTCCAGTAGCACGACGTTCACACTGGGATCGGATCCGCGATACACTGAAGCACCGGTACGTTAGACACACTTTCAACACCAGTAACTGTAGTCATGAATACCGTATTCCTTGAGAGAACAGCCGGCCCTCTGAGCGCCCTTCCGGGCGGCGTTCAGTGCGATGAGTAGAGTCCCGCCCTCTGAGATGAGACTCCCGCCCAATATGAAGAACGTCCAGTACAGCGACTCCACGTGCTGTGGGTGTAGGAGCCCGTCGATGCCGTTGTAAAACGAGAGTCCAGTGCCCGCGCAGAATATGCCCACACCGGAGATGAGTGACGCGATGTACCGCATGGGATGGTAGCCGTAGGGGTGGTCGGCGTTGGCCCTCTGCAGCGACTTTCGTATGCCGAACGCCAGGATCAGTTGGTTACAGGTGTCGGCTAATGAGTGTATGGCTTCGGCGAACAGGGAGTGGGAGCCGGTGTACAGCCAGGCGAGCGATTTGAATATAAAATTGGCCCCATTTCTGGTGGTAATTAGGTTTAATTTAGGACTTTTTTATAGCCAATACTCGGTGGTGAGGGTCTCGACTGAATACGTACATACAGACAGCGGTCATCACTACCCGTCCCGAACCCCGCAATATCTCGTCCCTCATCTGTGGGTTTGGTTTTTTTAGGACTTTTTTATAGCCAATACTCGGTGGTGAGGGTCTCGACTGAATACGTACATACAGACAGCGGTCATCACTACCCGTCCCGAACCCCGCAATATCTCGTCCCTCATCTGTGGGTTTGGTTTTCCGCAAAAGCATTAGTTTTTTGTTTCACTCAAAATATACTAATCATTGGATCAGTTGGTGGCGAACCTTAGCCTCGGGATCGTGCGCTCGCTTATAGTCCTTCAGTAACTTCTTCACGTGAAACACGCCTACAGATGAGAGGGGGGAAAGACACCAATTAATCGGTAAACACCTATTCAATGGTCAATCGCAGTGATCACTGACTGTCGATATACTTCTGCTCCTCTTCTTTGCGCTTCAGAAGCGCTTTATGTAAGACATCGAAAGAGCCCCAAACCTGCAGCGCTCTGTCGGACAAACAAACCGCACGATTATCATCAAAATCACACCACTTATCATATCATCCAATAGGATCACCACCGGATCTACTGGACACACACACACACGTACTTCGTCTCGATGTCTTTCCTGAGGTACACCGTAATCGGCGGTTCGTTGGCGTATGGACTCCGGCGCTGAAACTTTCGCAACTCATTCAAGTCGTTGGGCTTCAGGAGGTACTCATTCATGGCACGGATGGGTGTTATGAAGTTGCGGCCAGTCGTCAGGTTACTGAACGACGACTTGTCTTTGGACCTGTCTTTCGATAGCTTCGGCACCACTGCCGGAGAGGGGAAGACAATCACACCATCAGCTCATCCATCAATCAGTCAATCGTTTCATACCTTTAATGTCTTCGTTGGTGGCGATCGACAGCGGCTTCGGTACCGACGGCTTCTCCTTCCCATCGCCGCCGACGCCTTTGTCGCCTGTTTTGGTGTCTTTACTATCACTGGCCGTCTTGTGGTCATCGGAGGTAGTGGTGGATGAATAGGGGGCCGAAGTGGTGGCCGCCAGCAGTAAATTCAACTTAAACTTCACGTTTGGATGCGATGTCAACAGTGAAGACGAGATGGCATTCAATTGTCTGTGGATGTGGTGACAGGGTGTGCGGACAGCCGTCTTATGGCTATTAATCGTCATATTGTGGCAAATGTTGGTTAAGACCCGACGTCTTAGCGGCTGTAGAGTGGATGACATTATGTGGTATCAAATCAGTGGTGAAACACGTGTTTGTAATGAAAACAAATGTCTTAAAAGCGGTGATAATGAGTGAAATGTGACCATAAAATGGGTGTAAAAAACAGATAATAAATATAATATACAATAGATTTGATGCGAAAACTATATAACAATGAAATAAAATACGGAAACAATGGATCCGTTTAGTGATGACATGAAGTGAGCGCTCAAGAAGTGGATGTGAAGGTCACGTATAGACAGCACTCATAGACAACACAAACAACAGCTGATTGTCGAGAGGCTTGACTACAGAATATGTTATGTTAAGGAATATTCCCTATGAATACTCCCTTTGTATGTAGCGTTGGTTTTGTACAAAAAGTTTTTTCATCGTATTTATGATGACTTTTGAATCAAAAGTTTTGATTTTTGTTAAACTGTTTGTTTGAGTTTTATTAAAATTGTTAATTTAAAAATTATTATACTTATTATGTTAAATAAATGCTATTTATACCATACATGGTAAAATAATTTATAATAAATGCAACTAATTGTCAGCATTTTGTGAATGTATTATACAGTATATAAAAAAACTTTTTAAAACTTTTTAAAACAAATTCTTGCAATTTTTAATCACAAATTCATTACAATATTCTTATCATTAAATACAATGAGTAATAAAAATCAATACAAATATAAAATCACAACATATTTAACGCCAAATATCTCTCAAAAATCAACAAATATTACAATAATCTAAGGCTAAAAAGGCGTCAAATAGTTAGAGTTATGCACTTTAGACAGATATCCGGATAGTTTTGCTTCGTTTCGGACGTCTTTGAAGTATAGGAAGGATGTAAGGAGTAGGAGAAGCGCTGCCATGGAGTCCAACACAATGACGGCAATCATGGAGTGGTCGCCCAGACTGAAGGCCGAGACGTGCGGTCTCTCGGAGTTGGAGAACAACTCGGGCGCCGGTATTACTTGACAACAGACACTGTCTATGGTGGCGGTGCACGGCCTCCTATAGGCCGTGTATGCCGTATAAAACGATACCAAACCAATGATAGCCATCACAAACACTGACTGTTGGATAAAGTTTGTGGTCAATCGTAAAACTTTATATAAATGCTTTGAATATAAAAGCTTTTAATATACATTTAATATATAAATAGATATAATAAGCCTAACATCGATATAACACAATGTGATTATAGTATATATATTGTATATACTAATAAAATGAAATAAAATAAATAATATATTTCATGGCTTATAAAGTATTCAGAATATTCTGTAATCTATTAGTATTTCAATTAGCAAGCATTGCTACCATTTATCAATAGAGATTTTCTAATTAAAATATTTATTTGTCAAATATTTATACCATATTCTGTGACAAATGTAAAGCTTGAAATGTATGACCAAAAATCATCAAGTAACTTATTTCTCATATAGTATGTGGTCATGACTTACGATGAAATGAAAGGCAAAGTTGAGGTCATCATCCTTTTGTGGGCTCACGTCGATGAATGCGTACACTATTATGATTGCCCCACAAATGAGTGCAATTGAGTGGAGAATATGTAGTTTTATGAAGTATTTAGATATGTATCCACTCTTGTCCTCCACTGTCGTCAGTTGTTTCGCCTCATCCTCTGTGGCCACCGCTGTGTGACATCTCTTCACCGCTATTATTGCCATTGAAGA